CAGTTGGGTCTTTCTCTGCTTTGGGGATCAAGGTGATGCTTGCTTCCAGGAATGAATTCAGGAGTATTGTTTCTCTTTCAATTTCATTGAAGATTTTAAACATTAGCAGCAGTAGTTTCTCTCTAAATGTTTTGTAGAATTCACCAGTGAACCCATCAGGACCTGGGCATTTTTTTACTTGTTAATTTTTAATTACATTTTCAATGTCATTGATTGATATTGGGGCATTTAGAATGTTTAGGTCTTCTTTGTTCAACTTTGGTAATTCAAATGTATCTAGGAATCTATCTGTTTCTTCTCTGTTTTCCATCTTATTGGCATATAGATTCTTGAAGTAGGTACTGATGATCCTCTGGATTTCTGCTCAGTCCATTGTAATTTCTCCTTTTTCATTCCTAATTGCATGGATTTGGGCCTTTTCTTCCCTTTTCCTGATAAGGTTGGCTAACGGTTTGTCAATTTTATTTATTCTTTCAAGAACCAATTCTTGACTTCATTAATTTTTTGTATCATTCTCTTAGTCAGCATTGCATTAATTTCTTGTCTGATCTTTATAATTATATGGAAAAGTTTTAAAGTAAGGTTAGTAGATTAGCTATTAAAGTAGTTGTGAAAGAAAATAGGTAGTATATCCTTTTGAAAGCTTGCCTTAGCCCATTGCTTTTGTTGTTTAAAGTGAAGGTTTTATAGCTCCTTTGATCTGTAGCTCCACTATAGATAACATCCTAGCTCTGAAGAAAAAGTGGGAATCTTTGAATAAACTTGTGATATATGTGCCTTAACTGTCATGTGTTTAGGATGTAATCAGTGGCAGAAACAACCTGTGTTTAACCATTAAACAGGAATTGGACATTTATTTACCTAACAAAGACCACTAGGGATGAGATAATGACTGACAGAAGTATAAAAGGTGATGGACAAAGAACACAGGGCATGGACTCTGACCAGACCAGTTTCTAGCAGTCCTGCCTGCTTGTGAGTAAATTTTTATTTTACCCAACTTCTGTGTCTCTGTGCATTTCTTTTCGCGATTCCAGAACATTTGGTTCCCTGACCAGGAATCAGGAAAGAAGTGGCCCTTTTGGGCATTGGCCCGAACTCCACCAGAGGGAGCAGCTCTTTGCCCCCTTGAGGGGAATAGTATGCCCCTGGTACTAATTTCCTAGGCTCCCCAACAGGACACAGAGAACTGCTCACCAGTGGCAGATCGCCTGAACCCAAGACAGAAGACAACAGAAGGAAGGCTGCTGTTAGTGGTGTCTCATCTGTCTCTTTCCTTTGCTTGGTGAGAAACCCTGGGAAACCCCCTAGTTGTTAACCTTTGGTTTTGCTTTGGTTTCACTTTGTGAATTTGTATTCTGCAACTATGGGCAAATACAGCACAGGGGCCTAATCACCCCTTGTACTTTGCAATTTGGAAAGATAGTTCCTCCCATTTGTTTTGGTTCCATTTATGAACTTTGGGCAAACATAGTGCAGGGGCCTGATCACCCCTTGTGCTTTGCCATTTGGGGAGGTAGCTTCTTTCATTTGTTTTGGTTATGGTTAGGGGGTCACCGGGAGGGAATGTGATAACTTCTGAATAAATGTGTGAATGAAAGAGTTCTGGATAGGAGAGTGTGTGGAACAAGCTGCGGAACAAGACAAAGAAAGGAAGTGCTTGAGCTTAAAGAGTCCTCTCTGAGTTGCAGAATTTGTGTGAGGTCTGTCCCGAGATTCTGTGGTTGCATTTAATAAAGGCACAATGGTGAGCTTATGTGACAGCCTACCTTAGCCTGAACAGACCTTAAAGTGGCCGAGAGGCCCACAGCCAGGCAGGAAGTGAGTGATCGCCCACCTTTGTTTGTCTTGCATCTCTGTACAAGGCTACCCATACATACACCAACACTCTGATAGGCCGATTGTGGGGACAGAAACATCTCCTCCTACTGTTTTGAAGTGCATGCTTAAGAATTTTAAGAAAGGTTTTACTGAAAATTATGGTATTAAGATGAAACTCAAAAAACTTAGACCATTTTGTGAGTTAGAATGGCCCATGCTTTGCCCAGATGGGCTGAGAGATCCCTAGATGAGGGTCTTGTTTGGTCCATCTGGCTAACAGTCAGCACTCCTGGATGGGAACATCCAGATCAATTTCCTTATATTGATTCATGGCTCAACTTGTGTCACAGAATGCCTCCTTGGCTTCATATGTGCACCCTGGAAGCAAAAAACAATATCCTGGTCCTCCATCAGAAAGAGGACCATGCTGGAAAGAAATCAGTCCTTTCAGATCCAGACCAAGAGAATTTAGACTTTCCCCCTCCTTTTGTGTTGCTAAATTCACAGATGCAGAGGAGGTGGGGACAAAAGCCTGAGAACTGCTTGACTTTAGTGCACCAGAGGGTGCATGCTGTGGTCTGACTCAGAGAGGATCAAATAGGGCTTGCACTCAAATTGGAAAAAAGAATTGAAAAGAGAAAATAAGTAATGGATTGAAAACAGCTAAGAAAGCTCTGAAGGGTGTAAAACAAAGCCAGAGAAAATAAGAAATTTTACAAGACAAATCAAGTTACAAATTTTAGCTAATTGATAAATGTATCTGTGTTTCAGCTTGAATTGAGGTTTAATTGGTGTGCTGAAAATATTTCTTCTACATTGCAAATTCTTCAATTGTAATTACAGAGTTTTACTTGCTCTTTTCTGTACTTTGCTGATAAAAAAAAAACTCAAGGTCACTACTGTTCTATTGGCAGCCAACCAAATTTAAAGTATAAAAATCTGAGAACAAAAAAGGGGCACTTTAAGATTTTAGCAGCTAAATACAAGTTTGTGACAAATGGTCTATAGTAAGTGAGATAAAAAAATATTAAAAAGCTATAAGTAAAAGAGAAGCAATTTTGATGTAAGAAATTTTGCATATTTGTCTTGTTAGATAAAAGAGCTATACAAGACCAGAAGGTTTAGGTATGTCAAAAGATGTACAAAAGTGATTTATCAAAAAAATATGTATGCTTATTTGTTGGTTTCAAGTTTGTTATGAAAAGTTTAAATATGTTTACATTGGTTGTCATCAAAGGGTTAAATTCTAAGTATGTTACTAATATGTGTACATCCGTCATCTTCAAAGAATTTAAGAGCCAATAGGTTACAATATGACCTCCTCCTTTATAGTGAGTTTTAAAAAAACTGTTGGAAAAAGGCACAAATATGTCAGACTAAGGTGCGATATTTGAGATTTGACTTTAAAAAGGATAGAAAGAGGCTTGGTCCAGAGAAAGAAGTCATTTATTCTCTGCCAAGACCCCTCTAAAATGCTTCAATTATTTGATTCCATCTTTGCTATCTATTGTCCTAATTGGGAGGACTGTGAAAAACTTTGTAGAGCTTTGTTAACCTCTAAAACAATACAGAGAGTTGTAGGAAAAATTAAAGTTAATACCACTAGAATGCCAGGTGCTACACAGAATCCAGATGCTTGATATGAACAGCAGTTTCCAGTAAATATGTGGCCCAATTGGAATCCGAATACTCCAGTAGGCCAGGAGAGCCTAAGAAATCATCAGATGGCCCATCTGGCAGGGATACGAGCGAGAGCCCTGGGAAATTTTATGAGTGGCTTTGCGAGGTCTACAGAATATACACACCATTTGACCCTGCTGTTCCCAATAACCATCAGTTAATCAATACGACCTTTGTAACTCAGTCAGCTCCACACATTAGAAGGAAGATAGAGAAACAAGAGACTTGGGAAGGCATGAATATAATGCAACTGTTGCAATTAGCTAGAAAAGTATATGTGAACAGATAGTCAGTGAGAGACAGTGAGTAAGAAAGATAAGCAAGATGAGAGGAAAACAATGGCTATAGGAGCCAAGGAAGTGAGAGAGAAAAAAAGACAGGGAATGAAACCAGAGGGAAAGCAGAAAAAAGGCTTTAGGTATAAAGACTTAGAGTTTGACCAGTGTGCATATTGTAAAGAGAATGGACACTATAAGAATAAGTGCCCAAGACTCAAGGAAAAGAAAAAACAGGACTTAAAGGAGAGGAGAGATACTGACACATTGTTGCTTGTGATGGAAAACAGTGACTGACACAGACCGGGCTCAATGCAGCTAGGCCCCCATGAGCCCATGGTCGATGTAAAGATAGGGGGCCAAAATATATCCTTTATGGTGGACAGTGGCACAGAACATTCAGTAGTAACAGCTCCAGTAGTCCCTCTGAGCAGAAAGCACATTCAAGTGATCGGTGCCACTGGAATTTCAGAAAAGCGCCAGTTCTGCTATGAAAGGACATGTGAAATTGGAGGACGTAAAGTGAAACATGAATTCTTGTATATGCCAGAATGTTCTATCCCCTTACTAGGAAGAGATTTAATATTAAATTGGGAGCTACAATAACTTTCACCCAATGAGGAAATGCATCTCTGCATTTAGACCCAGGAAGAGATCTCAGCATGATGGTAACTACTAAAAGGGAGGATGAATGGCAACATTACAATGTGGATGATGTTTGCCAGGCTCCACAAGAATTAAAAACTATGTTTCCTGGAGTATGGGCAGAGGAATTGACCCCAGGCTTAGCTAAGAATCATTCACTCATATTTATAGAATTAGAAGACAATTCAGCCCCCATTGCTGTAAAACAATACCCAATGTCCAGGCAAGACCAAATTGGAATCAGACCTCATATCATGAGAGTAAAGGAATTTGAACTTATAAGAGAATGTAAGTCACCTTGGAACACCCCTTTGCTGCTGGTTTCGAAAACCTGATGGGAACTATAGGCCAGTGCAAGATCTATGGGCTGTAAATGATAGAACAGTAACACTGCATCCAGTGGTCCCTGACCCTTATACTTTGCTGGGTCTAATACCCCCAGAAGCAGCATGGTTTACTTGTTTGGACTTAAGAGATGCATTCTTTTGCCTTTGCATTACTCCCCTTAGTCAACCCATCTTTGCATTTGAATGGGAGGACCCAAGTGATGAACAATATAGCTCTGTCCTACTGCAGTATGTGGCTGACTTACTGTTATGCACCCCAACTCAGGAACGGTGCTGGGAAGGCACCAAAAATTTGTTGCTGCACTTACAAGAACACTGGATAGAAGGTATCATAGGAAAATAACCCAGATTTGTGTACACCATGTTAAATATTTAGGATTTGAAATAACACAGGGCATTCATTGCCTAGGAAATGAAAGGTTATTAGTGCCATCCCTAAGCCCCAAACAAAGAAGCAGCTGAGAGAGTTTCTTGGGGCAGCGGGCTTCTGTAAAATTTGGATTCTGGGTTTTACAGAAATCTCTAAACTCCTTTATGAAGCCTAAAGGGACAAGAGGAGAATCATCTGCATTGGACTGTAGAGCAGGAGGAAGCTTTTAAAAAATTAGAATTGACTTAAGCAGCTGCTCCAGCCTAGGCATACCATATGTAAAGTGGCCTTTTACTCTATATGTGACTGAAAAAAACCATGTGGCCCTTGGAGTGTTGACCCAAGATGTAGACCCATGGAATCAACCAGTGGCATATTTGTCTAAGAATTTAGATTCAGTAGCAAAAGGATGGCCTCCTTGTTTTTGGGTCTTATCAACTTCAGATCTGTTGATTCAAGAAATAGATAAGCTGACTTTAGGTCAGGAACTGACTGTGCATGTTCCACATGCGGTCCTAGAACTGCTGAACACAAGGGAGCATCATTGACTCTCCAATAATTGGGTTACTCAGTATCAAGCCCTTCTCTGTGGAAATCCTTGCTTGTGGTTTATTTCTGTAAAAAGTTTAAATCCTGCTACATTTTTGCCCATGGAGACAGGCCCTGCCGATCATGATCATGACTGCTTGAGTGTCACTGATGAGCTCTTTTCCAGCCACCCTGACTTGCAAATGGCACCCTTGTCCGATGCTTACCTCGTTCTATTCACAGATGGGAGCAGCTTCATGGAAGATGGGGTTCGTCATGCTGGATATACAGTAACCACAAAGGATGAGGTGATCCTAGCCTGGGTCCTTTCCGTTTGGCTGGTCGCCACAATGGGGTAAGCTGTGGCCACTCATACAGGCACTCTGATGGACAAAGGGTAAAAAGGTAAATATATATATACAGACTCTCACTATGCATTTACTCCATGGCATGATTCATCAAGAGTGAGGTCTTCTCACAGCAGAAGGGAACCAAATAAAAAGTAGACAGGAAATTATACAGTTACTAGAGCCAATGTGGGAACCTAGCAAAGTCACAGTAATACATTGTTCAGGACATCAGAAAAACAAAAACTTCATTACACACAGTAACAATAAAGCTGATGCTGAAAGCCAAGAAAGACAACATACTCAAATCCCTGCTCTCACCCCTCCAGAGGCTGGTGAGTCAACACACAGCTGAAGAATGGGAGCACTGGGAAAGGCAGCATGGACTCTTGTGCTTTGCCAGATCCCTACTGCTCTGAGTTTCCTTGTTTTCAAACTGTGGATGTTTAAGCCTAGTGATAAAAAGTTTGATGAATAGTATGTAACTTTTAACATGGTAAAATGAAAACTGGAGGGCTAACCTTTTATGATGCTCTTGGATGCCTGCCCAAAGGAACATTATGGGGGGGCCTGGGGTAACTTCTGAATGTGGGGACTATTCTAATGGGAAATTATATTGCATAGAGAAAACACAAGTTTAGATCAACGGCTCCCTTGTTGGGTGAGCCATTGGTAATTGTAACAATTGTAAACAAGGTCAATGTAATCCTATATCTATGTATATGCAAGCCCCATGGGATCCCATTTGGCTACAAGAAGTAATATATTTCATTAGGACAAGAAATTTAAAAAAAGGTCTTGAGGAAATTTGAGATACACTTCAGGCTTTAAAAACCCAGTTATATTCTTTAGCCGGCACGGTGCTACAGAATAGGCTAGCTCTCAATTTGCTAACAGCCCAGAAAGGAGGGACTTGCTTATTCCTTGGTAAAAATGTTGTTATTATGCTAATGAATCTAGTGTAGTATAAGAATAACTAGACAAATTGAAAGATTGGATCAAGACTCTTAATGAGAAATTTGGTATAAGAGAGCCATCTTATGGGATTAATTTTACTTGGGCAGGATTAAAAAACTTGGATAGGACCTCTTCTGAGTCCCCTTTTTGTTATAATATTAGTATTAATGTTTGGTCCTTGTGTTATTCAATGGATCTCAAGATTTATACGGCATTGTATTGCTGCTGCTGAACACTATCAAATGCTAGTATTAAGAAATACAGATAAGTTAGATAAAACATATTATGGATAGAAGATTTATCCCAAAGTAGACAAAGGAAGAAATGATAGGGAAAAGTTTTAAAGCAAGGTTAGTAGATTAGCTATTAAAGTAGTTGTGAAAGAAAATAGGTAGTATATCCCTTTAAAAGCTTGCCTTAGCCCATTGCTTTTGTTGTTTAAAGTGAAGGTTTTATAGCTCCTTTGATCTGTAGCTCCATTATAGATAACATCCTAGCTCTGAAGAACAAAGTGGGAATCTTTGAACAAACTTGTGATGTATGTGCCTTAACTCTCATGTGTTTAGGACTGTATCAGTGACAGAAACCACCTGTGCCTAACCATTAAACAGGAATTGGACATTTATCTACTTAACAAAGACCACTAGGGATGAGATAATGACTGATAAAAGTATAAAAGGTGATGGACAAAGAACACAGGGCACGAATTCTGACCAGACTAGTTTCTGGCAGTCCTGCCTGCTTGTGAGTAAATTTTTATTTTACCCAACTTCTGTGTCTCCGTGTGTTTCTTTCTGTGATTCTGGAATAATAATTTCCTCCCTTCTATGAGCTTTGGGTTTGTTCTGCTCTTCTTTTTCTCCAAGCTTGAGGTGCAGCATCAGGTTGTTTAATTGGGCTCATTCTGTTTTCCTAATATGCGTATTCACTGCTATGAATTTCCCTCCTATGACTGCTTTCATTGTGCCCCATAGATTCCGATATGTTGTATTGTCATTGTCATTTAATTGAAGGAACTGTCTGATTTCTTCTTTAATTTCCTCTGTGACCCATTGGT